CACACTGTGATGACGTTGGTCAAATGAATTTTCTCCCACCACTAGGAAGAACTGACCATGCAGTCATCTTATTTAAATTCACGGCTGAGACTGCTTGTCAAACAGTTGCGCCGGCCCGTCCTAACATATGGAAGGCAGATATGGAGGCATCGGCTGAAAACTGGGAAATCGACTCAGGAGTGTCAGTACAAGAGGCATGGACTCTTTTCAGGCAGTTATACAATCGTGTAACTCAACCATACATACCCTGGACAGTTCCAAAGAAGAAGAAGCACGGTCATCCCTGCATAGGCCGGGATATTCAACGCTTACTAAGACAAAAGAAGAAATGTTGGGATGTCGCCATCCGCCTTGGCACGATGGAACGCTACAGATCGGTAAGAAACAAGTGTATAACAAAAGTTTGTGAAGCTCAAAGAAAATATGAAAGGCAGCTAGCACAATCTACACTCAAGCAACCCAAGAGAATATTCTCGTACATAAACTACAGAACAGGGATGCATCATTGGACTCCCAACTTAATTAAAGTAGGAAGTGAATCTGAAATGATAGAAGATCTGGAAAAAGCAGAGGCTATGGCTGACTATTTTGGGGCAGTTTTCACTCAGGAACCTCCTCTAGACAAAGAACCAAACCAAAACAAACAGTCAACAAACCAGCTGCTCACCGTGGACTTCGATCAAGACGATGTGCTTAAGGCTCTTAGCACCTTAAACGTGGAAAAGTCAGCAGGACCATATGAACTGCACCCCAAAATCTTGAGACATATTGCACAATATATCGCGGTCCCACTGACTGTGATATTCAGTATGTCACTTGAACAAGATATGTTACCTATGGACTGGAAGGACGCAATCTTCACTCCCATGCATAAAACAGGACCAAGACAACTTCCATTGAACCACAGACCTGTCAGCCTCACCAGTGTTGTAGTTAAATACTGGAAAGAATAGTCAATAGGGCTGATAGATTAAACCGTAAGGGAGGCGGGGTTATCCTGTACACGGAAAGTACCCTAACAATAAGATTAGCTGAGACAGTAGCACATGTTTCAGGGACATATGAACTGGCAAGATGTAAGCTGAAATGTAGACGGCAAGATATTGAATTAGTTGAAGTATATCGAAGTCCAGAATCTGTAGCAGATGATTTTATCCTAAGTAAACTTAAGTCCTGGTGTAACAAGGGTAAAAGCCTTGTAGTAGGCGACTTTAATGCATCGTACATAAACTGCGTTAACTTAGAAGTAGGGTCATCGGTAACGTCGTTCGACTGCAAACTGTTAGAAATTTCGACTGGATTAGCATTATTCCAACACATTAGAGATCCCACAAGATACGACTTAAGAAACTCTTCTCTATTAGATTTAGTCTTCACACACTGTGATGACGTTGGTCAAATGAATTTTCTCCCACCACTAGGAAGAACTGACCATGCAGTCATCTTATTTAAATTCACGGCTGAGACTGCTTGTCAAACAGTTGCGCCGGCCCGTCCTAACATATGGAAGGCAGATATGGAGGCATCGGCTGAAAACTGGGAAATCGACTCAGGAGTGTCAGTACAAGAGGCATGGACTCTTTTCAGGCAGTTATACAATCGTGTAACTCAACCATACATACCCTGGACAGTTCCAAAGAAGAAGAAGCACGGTCATCCCTGCATAGGCCGGGATATTCAACGCTTACTAAGACAAAAGAAGAAATGTTGGGATGTCGCCATCCGCCTTGGCACGATGGAACGCTACAGATCGGTAAGAAACAAGTGTATAACAAAAGTTTGTGAAGCTCAAAGAAAATATGAAAGGCAGCTAGCACAATCTACACTCAAGCAACCCAAGAGAATATTCTCGTACATAAACTACAGAACAGGGATGCATCATTGGACTCCCAACTTAATTAAAGTAGGAAGTGAATCTGAAATGATAGAAGATCTGGAAAAAGCAGAGGCTATGGCTGACTATTTTGGGGCAGTTTTCACTCAGGAACCTCCTCTAGACAAAGAACCAAACCAAAACAAACAGTCAACAAACCAGCTGCTCACCGTGGACTTCGATCAAGACGATGTGCTTAAGGCTCTTAGCACCTTAAACGTGGAAAAGTCAGCAGGACCATATGAACTGCACCCCAAAATCTTGAGACATATTGCACAATATATCGCGGTCCCACTGACTGTGATATTCAGTATGTCACTTGAACAAGATATGTTACCTATGGACTGGAAGGACGCAATCTTCACTCCCATGCATAAAACAGGACCAAGACAACTTCCATTGAACCACAGACCTGTCAGCCTCACCAGTGTTGTAGTTAAATACTGGAAAGAATAGTCAATAGGGCTGATAGATTAAACCGTAAGGGAGGCGGGGTTATCCTGTACACGGAAAGTACCCTAACAATAAGATTAGCTGAGACAGTAGCACATGTTTCAGGGACATATGAACTGGCAAGATGTAAGCTGAAATGTAGACGGCAAGATATTGAATTAGTTGAAGTATATCGAAGTCCAGAATCTGTAGCAGATGATTTTATCCTAAGTAAACTTAAGTCCTGGTGTAACAAGGGTAAAAGCCTTGTAGTAGGCGACTTTAATGCATCGTACATAAACTGCGTTAACTTAGAAGTAGGGTCATCGGTAACGTCGTTCGACTGCAAACTGTTAGAAATTTCGACTGGATTAGCATTATTCCAACACATTAGAGATCCCACAAGATACGACTTAAGAAACTCTTCTCTATTAGATTTAGTCTTCACACACTGTGATGACGTTGGTCAAATGAATTTTCTCCCACCACTAGGAAGAACTGACCATGCAGTCATCTTATTTAAATTCACGGCTGAGACTGCTTGTCAAACAGTTGCGCCGGCCCGTCCTAACATATGGAAGGCAGATATGGAGGCATCGGCTGAAAACTGGGAAATCGACTCAGGAGTGTCAGTACAAGAGGCATGGACTCTTTTCAGGCAGTTATACAATCGTGTAACTCAACCATACATACCCTGGACAGTTCCAAAGAAGAAGAAGCACGGTCATCCCTGCATAGGCCGGGATATTCAACGCTTACTAAGACAAAAGAAGAAATGTTGGGATGTCGCCATCCGCCTTGGCACGATGGAACGCTACAGATCGGTAAGAAACAAGTGTATAACAAAAGTTTGTGAAGCTCAAAGAAAATATGAAAGGCAGCTAGCACAATCTACACTCAAGCAACCCAAGAGAATATTCTCGTACATAAACTACAGAACAGGGATGCATCATTGGACTCCCAACTTAATTAAAGTAGGAAGTGAATCTGAAATGATAGAAGATCTGGAAAAAGCAGAGGCTATGGCTGACTATTTTGGGGCAGTTTTCACTCAGGAACCTCCTCTAGACAAAGAACCAAACCAAAACAAACAGTCAACAAACCAGCTGCTCACCGTGGACTTCGATCAAGACGATGTGCTTAAGGCTCTTGGCACCTTAAACGTGGAAAAGTCAGCAGGACCATATGAACTGCACCCCAAAATCTTGAGACATATTGCACAATATATCGCGGTCCCACTGACTGTGATATTCAGTATGTCACTTGAACAAGATATGTTACCTATGGACTGGAAGGACGCAATCTTCACTCCCATGCATAAAACAGGACCAAGACAACTTCCATTGAACCACAGACCTGTCAGCCTCACCAGTGTTGTAGTTAAATACTGGAAAGAATAGTCAAACGGACCATAATGTCATTTATAGAAACCGACGACTTGCTGAATGTAGAACAACATGGTTTTAGGAAGGGTCTATCTTGTACAACGAACCTCCTTATAGCAAGGGAATTCTGGATAAAGGCACTAGACAGCGGAAACTCAATGGATGTTGTTTACATAGATTTCAGTAAGGCTTTTGACAAGGTGCCAACAAATAGACTGCTATTGAAGTTGGAAAACATTGGTATTGTTGGACCTATATTAAAATAGATTAAGGATTTCCTAGTAGGTCGTAGACAGCAAGTAAGAACAAATTCCAAGTGCTCCATCTGGAGATCAGTACTTAGTGGGGTACCTCAAGGTTTCGTCCTAGGTCCTTTAATTTTTATAATGTATGTTAATGACCTTTCAAGTATAGTACAGTCTCCAATGTTATGCACGTTGGGGATTCAAAGGTTAACAGGTACAACATAAGGGAAGTGCCATTACCCGTAGTCCGGTCTCATGAAGATCTAGGGGTGATAGTGGGTCATGATCTTTAGACCACAGCCTATTGCCGGCAGGTCGCAGCTAAGGGGTTTAGAACCCTTCAGGCTTTAAGACGGACATTCACCAAGTTAAATACTACCATGTTCACTACAGTATACACAACCTTAGTGAGAACTAAGATTGAGAACTGTGTTCAGGCTACAAGCCCCTGTTTAAGAGGTGACTCGGATATCCCTGAAAAAGTACAGAGGGCAGCTATTCGTACAATTCTGGAACTCCAGGGTTTACCATAAAAAGAGCGACTTTAAAAGCTAGATCTATTTACTATGTTCTATTGCAGATTAAGTGATCTGAGTTTGATGAATAGAAAACTAAGAAATGATTTTGGACCTAACATATCCTCTGTTTTTCTTCCCACTAGATCGCGACATCTCATAGGATATAGCAGGCGAATAGAAAAGCCGTGAACGAATGAAATACCCGTCGCATACAGGTTTTCACACCGAGTCATCAATAGTTGAAACCTGCTGCCTGAAGCAGTGGTGTCCGCACCTTCAATTGACTCTCTCAAGAGAAGACTGGACACTCACAGGAATAACATAGGCCGTGGGCCTTCTGTCCTTACTACACAGATCTGAATATGAATCTGAACTATCCAAACCGAAACGCAAACAAATATCTGTTGAAACCCACTCAGTAATTATTTAGTGACTTGGTTTTCTATCCCTGAGCAAGGGGCTATAAATCCTTTCATAGATACATATAATGACAAATTTAATGTTTTGAGAAGTTTCCAATGCGATAGAGAAGAACAAACTTATAATTGAGTGCGAGGTCGATTTATTAGATGCGCTACGTATGCCATGCCTGAATTACCTACCGGTGATGTGAATATCCTAAAGGAGAAAAAAGTGAGTTTAGCTTATTTTTGTAAGACAATCAGTAATGCGCACAAACGTTGGTTATCTTGGTAGTGCAGTTAAAATGTCTATTCTTCAGGTTCTCGTACCTAAAATCGAAGTTATATTTTAATGCTAGGTGCAAAAAATCACAGAGCAAATGGCCAAGTCATCCATCAAACAGTGCGAAGTGAAGTACAATTTAAAAGTTCCAAAGGTAATACTGAAAATTCCTCTGATTGAAATAGGGAACAAAAGATCGGGATCCCCTCCAAATGACAATTCTTGAAGGTGTTTTTAGTACAATAATACGGTGTTTCAAGCGTCATGATGCAGTCACTATAGACACCCCCGTTTTTGAGCTCAAGGTAATTTCAGACGTTTCGAGTTTTACAGGAATTAGGAAGTGCTAGCTGGAAAGTATGGCGAAGAATCTAAACTCATATACGATCTTCAGGATCAAGGCGGCGAGGCGCTTTCTCTTAGATATGATTTAACCGTATGTTATAATTATTGTTTATGATGCAGTAAAGGTCCCATTCGCCCGTTATGTTGCCATGCATAAGATTAAATCTATCAAGCGATACCAAATTGGAAAGGTTTATCGGCGTGATCAACCGGCTATGTCGCGTGGTCGTTACCGGGAGTTTTACCAGTGTGTAAGTAAATTACTACAAGTTTTACTTTTCGAAGTCACTTAACTTCATTGTTGTGTCTGCCTAATGATTACATTTCGTTACCATTCCGCCTTTGTTACGACAAGGTCGGGTGTTTAGTTGTCTGTTGGGTTTGGTTGGTTCCCAAATTCGGTTACCACATTTGCTCCTAATAACCTAGTTTACTCTCTGCATGTCTTCTGAGATTTCAGGGCTATAAATCTATAATAATTAAAATTATTCGAACTAAACATTTGCGAGACCCGTGCTCAACTCTATAACCTGCTTTGCAACTCAATGAATTGTTTTCCGTGTTTTCACGAAAACTAGGGTTATCGTTAATTAAACGCCTACCTGCATGACCTTAAGTACGCATCAGATTAGGATACCAAGTAGTGTAGTAGAATTCTTGATGTCCTGGAAGTCAGTTTCGTGCACGGGCTCAACAATGTTAAAGAATCCTATTGAGAAAATTAGAACACATAAGCGAACAATTGTTTTCAATTAGATCGTCATTACGCTTTACTCTAATATACATGAATATTTATACGAAAATGTTAAAACAATCAAGGCAATATGGGTCAATAATCACAATGAAATAGAATAAGTCACTACACATATTAGGTAAAAGTACAAGTTTATAGTAGGACGACAGGTGAACTGATAATAGTAAGAATAATAAAATACGATAACATAAGTCTCATCAATAGTTAAACGTTGGGAATAAAAAGTCAAACAAACGTGGGTAAATAGACTAGGAACAGTAATCACAAAACATTAAAATCATTACGTAATAAGATGTGTGTAAATAATTAGATAGTGAAGAATACGAAGAGGCGGAAAATTACAAACAAATACCAGATGTGAAAATAAGGTTGACGATAACACAAACAGAATAAAATAAATAATGATAATAATAAAATTTAAAAAAAACCGTTAGTTAAGTTATAACTGGCCAAGGAAGGGATATGGGGGTTACGAATTTCTTATGTACACATAAATTGGGGTTATATGTACGAATTCCTATAGCTTCAGCTATATGTAGGAGGCGGGAACGAACTCTGTTGGGAAATTATGGAGGTATACGATAGATCACTCGAAATGATTTTTATTTATCTACAGCATGACCGCTAACGATGAGATGTGCCAAGATAGAACTGCGAATTGTTTTTATCTGGCCTTTTATAAACCAAGCTGGCAGATGTTCACTCATTTGTTGGTTAAGTTGCCTGGTAGTACGCCCGATATAGCTATCCACAGGAGCAGCCGAATTTGTAAATGCACATTAAGGAGGCCGACTCAGGTAACCTATCCTTCGTTTGCGTAGACATCGCTAGTCGACAAGGGAAAGTCAACGCAAGATTGGCTGCGTAGAATGACCTGGTGATTACTTTAGTTAACCTATATTTCAGAGTATCACTAGCCACATACCCGTTAAATTGTAGTTCCATGTCTGCTTACCAATATACTCAACTTCCGCAGTTTCACACCTATCCGTTACAAGAGAAATTTGGTTAGATGTCTCACTAGCAGAGCTAAAAAGATCTGCGCAGTAGACACTCAGGAGCTTGAATTCATCAACAACTCATTGACCAAGATCGGCCACTCCAGTGCTTTCATTAAGAAGTACATGTATGACATAATAAAGAAGTTGGAGATTTCGACTGTTCGTAAGAAACCTTTATACATGAAACGGGTATGTGGCTAGTGATACTCTGAAATATAGGTTAACTAAAGTAATCACCAGGTCATTCTACGCAGCCAATCTTGCGTTGACTTTCCCTTGTCGACTAGCGATGTCTACGCAAACGAAGGATAGGTTACCTGAGTCGGCCTCCTTAATGTGCATTTACAAATTCGGCTGCTCCTGTGGATAGCTATATCGGGCGTACTACCAGGCAACTTAACCAACAAATGAGTGAACATCTGCCAGCTTGGTTTATAAAAGGCCAGATAAAAACAATTCGCAGTTCTATCTTGGCACATCTCATCGTTAGCGGTCATGCTGTAGATAAATAAAAATCATTTCGAGTGATCTATCGTATACCTCCATAATTTCCCAACAGAGTTCGTTCCCGCCTCCTACATATAGCTGAAGCTATAGGAATTCGTACATATAACCCCAATTTATGTGTACATAAGAAATTCGTAACCCCCATATCCCTTCCTTGGCCAGTTATAACTTAACTAACGGTTTTTTTTAAATTTTATTATTATCATTATTTATTTTATTCTGTTTGTGTTATCGTCAACCTTATTTTCACATCTGGTATTTGTTTGTAATTTTCCGCCTCTTCGTATTCTTCACTATCTAATTATTTACACACATCTTATTACGTAATGATTTTAATGTTTTGTGATTACTGTTCCTAGTCTATTTACCCACGTTTGTTTGACTTTTTATTCCCAACGTTTAACTATTGATGAGACTTATGTTATCGTATTTTATTATTCTTACTATTATCAGTTCACCTGTCGTCCTACTATAAACTTGTACTTTTACCTAATATGTGTAGTGACTTATTCTATTTCATTGTGATTATTGACCCATATTGCCTTGATTGTTTTAACATTTTCGTATAAATATTCATGTATATTAGAGTAAAGCGTAATGACGATCTAATTGAAAACAATTGTTCGCTTATATGTGTTGTTCATAATTAATGCATACAGTTCTGGCCCGTTCGTTGTTGCTACCTAGATGTGGTGGTCGGGCTTGCCTTTCATGATCAAGGGATCGAGCTCTACTGGCTGGAACAATCGGTACTCAAGGTCCCCCCATGCCAGACAGGTTGGTTGAAGAACGGGAAAACTGAAAGCAGCAAACGCAAGGTTATGTATTTCGTCCTAATTTTTTGTTTCATATTTAGTACTGCATCATACCTCTAAACTGTGGTGTAATACTTAAGGTGTTTGACTTTACCTAAAATACGGGTTAGCGTAGAGTAATACCTTGGATGTTAATCCACATTCACTTCTCTCATACACAGGAGAGATATATAAAAATATTTAATACTCGTTTTATAGCTCACTAGCCTTAATATTTTTCCATCGTTATCAGTTCGTCTTCATCTATTCAGGCTCTTCTCTTATTGTGATGCTTGAGACATGCTAAAATGACACGTATGTCTATATTAAGTCAATGTACCAAGTGCAACAAATACATAAACGATATACAAATTATAATCGTAAGTTAATAATGAGTAAGCCGATGTTGCACAGTAGGTAAGTTCGGGTTTCACCTTGTTAACCATCTGTTTAAAAGTCAGCATTCCATTCTTCCACAAATGTTTTCTCACTTTCCAGGATTTCGATATTGCTGGAGATCATGGGCTAATGTTGGCGGATGCAGAATGCCTTCGAATAATATACGAAGTGCTTTCAGAATTGGATTTAGGCGATTTTGTCATAAAGATCAACCACAGACGTTTGCTTGATGGATTGTTTTCGGCTTGTAATGTGCCATCAGATAAGTTTGTTTCAGCTTGTTCCTCAGTTGACAAACTAGACAAGGTAGGTATTAGATTTGTTCAGTTACCATTTTTTAGATTTCTTTATGTAACAAAGCGAAGAAAATATAATGACCAGCCATGGGTTTATCTACTAAGTTATGGAATAAACCTGTAGTTAGACCTAACAATATTATTTTGCTCAAACCTTAATTAATAAAAGAATCCGAACCTGTAACTTGAGTTCCTAAATCTACATACCAGCTTCACATGACATTTCTGTGAATTGTAAAGTCTACGTAAATATCCATATCAAGGTTATCATTGATTCAACCTATTTTTCATGGTGTTCAGCTAGGCTTATTTTTAATCTGCGTCAAGCATATTCATTAGATCTTAAGTTTAGTATTTCAATACCTAGAAAACATTCGTGGAAGCACTCCGTTTCGTAATTTATTTTCGGAATGTTCTGCAATATTTTCCATATTCCTTAATGTAGTGCTTTTGGCATTCTTAATTATTCAAACTTAATTCTGGTTTTAGTCTCATTAAGAATGCCGCTGCATATTTGTTGTTATATTACTACACTCAAGATATAATTATCTATAATAAATATTACAAATTATCATCAGAAACTAAGCATGATTACGATTCTATGCTCCCCAAAATGAAGTTACTGAGTAACTTTTTAATCAGCCCGATACCTTTCTGTTCCTCTGATTAACTTATATTGAATATTCACTGGCAAAGTTTTATGCACTTAATTAGTGAGTTTTATGAATGTAAAAGCAATCATACATCGATAGGGAAGCAGTTCACTTTCTTGCGATAAAAAAATTAACGTCATATAAAATTGTATAGCCGAATAATACATGAAGTGAATGGTTTGATACTCCATTGTTCCAGTTACAAAAGAATCAATCACATTTTGTAGAATTAAATTGTCCTGCGATGGAATCGCACATTTATGTTGAATGTGACGACGCGATTTAGAACTAAATCATACGAAATAACTTGACATTGATCACATTACTACTTCTGGTAAAATAACTAGTTAACACTATTGGTTCATTGTACAATGAATGCTTCATCCAGTCATTTTCTACGTTGAAACACTGGTATAGGGTGCTGATGTCATGTAAATCACATTTGTTGACAGATAACTTGCTTATTGTCATACAATACTTCTTTACTGCTTATTTGTTGTTACGATATACTTGGTACCCCGAAACTATTTACGTATATTTGTGATACCTTTGATAAGTCATTATTCTTGATGAAAATAAGGGTAAATGGGTCTCTTTACTTCTAGATTAATGGTATTACGCAGTAGCAATCCATGTACTCAAACTTGGACCACACAATCTTCACAAGAGCTAGTGACACTACTTGGATGAAGTTCATACTTACAATACTATAATTAAAAGTGGAGTACTCTAAATGGAATGTTTGCTTCACTTATTTCAATATAATAGGTTGTTAGCTCAGTAATAGGTTCCATTTAGATAAAATGATTCTTTTGAACTTCTAGAAAAATGTCTATAAAATCTAATAGATTTTGAACCAGAAGCGATTTCAACAACTGTTATGGGAGGTTGCGAATTAAGTGTTTGTATGATGAACCCAGTACAGTGATAGTGTAACAGTCAGTACTTAATAAATCAGTGTTAGTGTTTAGTAGCCGGGATTTTTACATGATATGAACGTGGACACTAGCATCGGAAATTCCACACGTGTCTAAAACAATCACGATTTTTTATTTTAAGATCATTGTATATATGTTTCTTCAACCTATTCATAATTATTTCTTCTGTTTCCAAGATCCGAGGATTGTGGTGCTGAAACTTAAATAAAGGAAACTTACAGCAATTATTGAAATAGTACTGCTCTGATATAGATGCATTAGTTAACAGTCTTGCGTAATTTACCCCGTTAGGGTTTCAGTTTTATATTCTGTTGGTTAAATCCATTTCTAGTTATATATATTTAAAGCTTTTCTATGGATTTGTGCAACATTATAGATTAGAAAATTTTCTGCATTTGATTAAATATATTCATACCAACCTTTGTGTTCATGAACCTTGTCTGTAAGTCGCATTCATCTTGGATTTTCTAGATTCCTTGGGAAGATGTCAGACGGGAATTATGTGAAGACAGAGGGTTGTCACCTGAAGCTGCAGATAAAATTGGTTCGTATGTTCAGCTAACTGGAGGTTTGGATCTAGTTGAACGTCTCGAATCAGATGAGCATCTTAATAATCAACCATCAGCTAAAGCTGCTCTTCAGGAAATGAGATTATTATTAGACTATTGTAAAGCACTTGGGATAGAAGAGCGAATTAGCTTCGATTTAAGTCTAGCGCGCGGGTTGGATTACTATACCGGTGTTATTTACGAAGCTGTTCTGAAAGGTTTGTCGAATGAACTTATCAAATGTTTCCATGTTTCAGTAAAGATTTTAGTAAAACAAAACTGTATTGTAATTTTGCTAGAGTTGTGTTTTCTGTAATATATAGTTTGTTTGTACAGCTTTTATCATCCTTCAACAAAACAAGCACCTAAAAATGTGTGAGCTCTGATAATCTTATAAATAACTCATCAATGTGACTATGTTAATTGTGTTGCTGTCATTCGTACAACTTATGATTAACTATTTTCTTGACCTTTTCCCGTTAGATGCTCGTATAATGACAAACTTACAGAAGCAAGTGCTAAGCTTCTAAGAGTTTGTTAAGAACTGTTTACATTTCTCACGTTTTTATCCTACTGAAATCCGCCTGCTTGCGTGATTGCTAGGTTAGGCATATAGAGACAAATAGCCGGTTTATAGTTCTTCGTTGTCTTGTTAAGGATTTTAAGTATTTATTTATTAGATAAAGTGGCTAGGGCTTTAAAATTGAGTCTATAATTACCAGCTGAATGGATGCTAATTAGCTGGCTGTAACAGTTTTTTCCGTACTAATATAATCAAGCAGCTAAATAATAAGGAAATAATTAAAATGACCTTCGTAAGTTTTGTTCTTTTTTGATGCTACAAACCACCGCTTTCCATGAATTACTGTCTCAACGAAACCACTAGTCGCATCCTCAGTTTTAAAAAAAGGACTATAATCAATATTTATTCCTGTTTAAAGTTTACCAATTTCATCGATTCCATACTTTTAATTAAGCATTTGTTTAAATCTTGTTCTCGTACACGACTATCTTCATTGGTTACTTTGGTTCACCTAGTTATGTATTTTTTTACGTTGTTATGGCCCTAGATTTGTTTCCAGTTAAATCGTTTCTGATTGTTATTGAAATATACATCCTGGCTACTCTCGTATATAATGATCAACTTAAATCGCGTTAGTGAATAACGGACTTAAATAAGTCAAATACGAGAACGGAGTTTTAAATACGTTTATTTCGTAAAGTTGATCTGCACAGAAAATCGGGGAGACAGCGAAGGAAGCGAATGGGAGAGAGAAAAGCAAGACTAAATGACGCTCGGTGAAAAGGCGAGCGAGCCAACTCAATTTAACTAAGCGTGAATCAATATTTATAGTCAGACTAAAAATAAGTTGCAGGCATGTGATGAGTAGGAAAACCAATGTACGCACATACACTCATAAAAAGTCAAGGTTGATTAGCGAATAGTTAACAAGGTCAAAATGTACCTTGAGAAGAATGGATGAATTGGTTAGTCCAGAAGCTAGAATAAGCTATATGGGCTTGACATAGGATCAGCCACTACAATGTCTCCTGTGATTGAGGTGTTCGACTTTCGGCCAATAAGCTCCTGGTTCGAACCCTGCCCCACCTAATTTGGTTTGGGAAACCGGGTAGCGTGATTAGTCCTTATCATTAGATTGTGGCTTATGCCCAAATACCTGATGAACAAATTAATCATAAATTATTTTGTTAGTTTCCCATAATTTTTATGCTTACTGATCTGTCTAATCAATTACATATTTAAATATCTGGTTTGTGAAGTATTTTCCAAACAAGAATTGTCACCAGTAGATATTCTGTGTACATGGATATTAATAATAGACTCTGAGAAATTGCTACACATATAGAATCTGATTCTTTGTGACCGTGAAGGTTTTTGAAGTAATAAAGCCGATTAGTGTATTTCTCGGTAACATACATCTTCGGTCCATACTAGTAGTGGTAAAGGCAAACTGATAATAAATCAGTCGAGAGTAAGATTATTGATTAATTCAGTATGATAGTCATTGAGGTTCATTGATTTGATAAACGGATCTTGGACTGTTTGAATGAAAGAAAAAATACTGATCAATAGACGATGGGCAATGATGCGATATGGATGGACGAACTATTGACTTAAGCCTCCAAGTGATTCGATATTAAAGACAAGGCTATCATATAAAAAGAAAATTTTTTTACACGATAACGTGACGTGGTTAAGCATAAAATATTAATCCGAAAAAAATTTCATAGCGGGTTGAAGGGAATCAGTGTGTAGATCATTCACTCCACAAGCAATTAAAACCTGACTTCCAGACCTAATTCTTAACTGCCATATCAATCTCGGTTATTAATCATTTCAGTACGTCACTCTACTGTATTCTGATAACCTTTGTCATGTGTTTACTCAGTTTTGCTATTTTTCTGTATGAAAATGTAGTTAATAATTACTGAAAGGAAGATCTGCATATGAACGTGGTATTTTTCCGGAAAATATATTCTTTGTAGTCTAAGTCCAGGCTTTTTCACCTTTCCAATAGTCAGGGCGTGCATTAAGAGTGCTTTATTGAACAGTAATCGCGTGCGTTGCTATACTATTGTGTTTATATTTTTCCGATTGCGTAGCAAATAAAAGGTCATAATACAAACAAAAATATAGATAATTCGACACCCTTTCATCTGTTTATTTTAAACCTGATACGATGCTCAAAGTTTAGTTCTAACAGTCAGGCCTTAACTAATTGGATATTAATTCACATACAAGCTAATTTCCTCCAATCGCCTATAAAATTTTATCATGTTTATTTTGTGTTCATGTTTTTTTATGTAAACATGCTATTTTATTACATAGAAAACTATTTATATGGCTAGTGGTATTGTTTTCGATTTATGATCTTTCGTGAACTTAAGTCAATAATAAGGTGTCATGAGCAGCCATTATTTGGCCACCATACCGTTTATCTATCGGCTCGCATTCTATTCGTTGATCTCAACAATCGAGAATTTCTTTTAATTAAATTACAGAAAGCCTCTTCGACAACAAAGCCTTTTGTTAGTAGTTGTACGGAACGTAGAACCTGTTACATATATTCATCGGTGCAAGTTCCCACACTGCATCAACACAAACTGAACTGGTGTCAGGCTTTATGTTGTTTATGGTTGACTGACTGGCTAATTATTGCTGTCTTGTTGTTTGTAAGTACTTGCTACAGCCCAGTTTGTTTATTGACACCTTACGGTACACAATTTATTGTATATGTGACAGATTCTTTTCTATCATTGCGTTTTTACGTGTTAGACGCTCACTGACTATGTTTATGGATCATATTATAGATAAAAACACTATTTCAAAGGTTGTTATAAATTCAATAAAATGTATTCGTAGCCTACTTTGATCTCTTTTTTGCCAAAAATACAATCCAATATTTAAATGAAATCCACTGTTTGTTTCACATAACAGGTTTCACTTACAATCCAAGTAATTCAGGTGCAGAATTGACTGGTTCTAATGAAACTAACTTAAACTCCTCTGTAAAAAATAAAAAATCAAGTAGAAAGGATAAGAAAGCCAAAGAACAATTAGAGGAGGATTCTGTTACACCTGGCGAATCCATGACTGTTGGTAGTGTAGCTGGTGGTGGCCGTTACGATGGATTAGTTGGAATGTTCGATTCTTCTGGAACACGAGTTCCGTGTGTTGGTTTTAGTTTTGGTGTTGAACGACTATTAGCAATTAAAGAAGCTTTGAGTAATTCTTCAGATAAGAATAAGTGTAACGTGCGACCAACTGAAACTGAAGTCATGGTTGCTGGAGCTCATAAGGGTCTTATTATGCAACGTTTACAATGCTGTCAACTCTTATGGAATGCAAAGATTAAGGTAAGCGTTTCGTTCTTAAGTTTCATTTGATTGATTCAAATGTCTTGATGTTAATATAAGTAACAAAATATATTCTTAATCTATTTTGCATAAGGAACAGTCTCATAAGATTGTCATATTGACAAACAGTTACAACCAGACAATCCAATACTTAAATAACATCAATCTTTCAAATTTTTTAACTAGAATTATGAAGAAGGAATCTCCCTTTGAATGTTATCTTGTACTTTCCGTTTGTTAATTTTATTCCTGCTTTTAAAATTATATTCTACTTGGTTTGTTTCTATTATTATTATTTCAAATCTCTTGTTTTCCTTTTTATGGTTGCATGGTTTGCCAAATTAGCCAAATTCGTGCCAGTCCCTGTGTTGTTAATGTTTTACTGATGTACTGATTGAGATGTTTTTTGTGTTAACACAACTCAGGATCTCTATATAAGTTTGTATCCTAGATTGTAAAGTGCATATTATACAAATACTTACGCGCGCGAGACCGATAGGTCCTTGGTTCGAACCTCGTGTGGCGAGATCGTGGATGTGCACTGCTGAGGAGTTCCATACTAGGATGAAACGGCCACCCAGTGCTTACAGGTTTTCCATGGTGTTCTAGCTTCAATTGGCCCATGAATTCAACTATTAACTTAATATTTATGTCCATAACTAACCAATCATATCGCTGCTTAAACGCTCATCACGTCAACCTGGTCTGATGTGTATGTAGACTATCCCTGTTTCATGTGACCTGGCAATTGAAGGAAACTATTGTTCTATCACATTAGTGTGACTGCAAATCATTTTTTATTCATTTCGATAAGATACGTAATACTACTAGTCGGTATGCTTGTGTGTTTCACTTAATGACTATAATTCCTTTAATTATTGTACTAGTTGAATTGTTTTTGACGTTTAGAGACAGACAAAGTTTAAAGCCAAGTTGTTCTTATTCTGACCATAACTTTCACATAAACTCTAGATCTTCAGTATCGCGTTTACATTTCTGGTAGAATATCTGTAGGAAAAATCTTACATACTAATGATACTTATTCGAGGACTTAAACAGAAGTAATGTTGATGTTAGTTACGGGTTACCAGGTAAATGTAGCGGCTTGGTTGATGAAACTATCAACCTTCATTGATTGCAGTGGTTATGATCTGTATTAGGCATGCCCACTCACTGATAACCGTGATGGGGAATGTCTAGTTTAGGATTACGTTGGAATAAAGCTCGTGCCAGCCAAACCAGGACATTGTATCAGTCCATGAAGTCATTGATTGTTGATCTGGGCCACATTGTTAGGTGGAGATTATGTGATTGATGCCGGAGCGATAACCGGAACTTGTGACTAGAGGCGTTGTATGACATAACTAATAACCGTTCATGATATCGCGTAGACATTCACTTTCTATTTTATTCTCAATATTGAATTTTAGTATTCCTTCATATGTACCTTTACTATCTTTTCTCGATGCATAGTCTTTTCCATCATCATCATTACTACATTACTTCAGTCTCTTTTACTACAAGTCTTATTAATTTGGTCTCATAGTGGTGATATAGTATAGCAACTTGAGTCAACGCACATCTGTCAGGCTCTGCGTTGATGACTAGTGGACTCAAACAGGATAGCGGTTGAACTTATTTTCACTAATTCAAATTGAAGTTCTTAAGTAGTAGTTGTACAACTGTTCTTACAGTTCTCAAGATATTTTGTACATGAATGATTAAATTATATCATCGAAAACTAAATTTCCCATTGTCCTCTCATATTATTGATGCTGTTCTATTATTACTGTCATCAGTAGATCATACCTAATACATAATTATACTTTTACTTCGAAACGCTTAATTCACAGGCTACGATGTCGCATAAAAATCACCCCAAACTTTTGGATCAACTACAGTATTGTGAATCAACTGGTATTCCTTTGGCCGTTGTTCTAGGAGAAAGTGAACTAGCTCGTAACACTGTCAAGTTGAGAGATATTGAAACCCGAGAAGAATATGAAGTTTTGTACACAGATCTTGTGAATAAGATCAAAGAAGTACTATCTACCAAATACCATAAATAAAACTTTGCTACATATTGTATTTGTCTGTATGTTGTTGCACCTCATAATCTTGTATCGTTTGACGTAATTTACCAATACAATTTTGTCTCGGAAGTAACTACAATAAACTTATTGGGATTCTAATTAATTACGTATCATTTCCTTCTGTTTAGAAGCATGGTTCCAATATCAAAAACATGTATTTAGATATTTATCGTATAAGGAAGATACTGGGAATTAGTGGTTAGAGATAGATGGCTAAAAATCAATTTTGGTAGCACAAATGTTTCCATTCTTATCATTTCACTTAATATTACTCTTTTTTTCGTTGATTTCACCGTACGGTACTATGAAGTAGGACGACATTTTGGTATTGATATCTTGTGTGACTTATTTACGATTTTTTTTCACACTAGTGTTATTTCACACTTTACCGTTATCACTATATAGTCAATTCATGAGGGAACTTTCAAAATTACCATATAGCTTTAAAGTAAGAGAAACTTTTGAAAATTTATTTCAACTATTATTTCTATGTTTATACTGGTCCTTTCTAAAGTTATTATGTAGGTCTCTCTGATTTGCGCTAGAGTCTTAAATAATAACGATGACTATCACTGAGTGTTAAACTCAAAATTATGTACAAAACAAAATTGGATTTTTCAGTACCATCCATGACAAAAAATTCAACGCCTATCACACAGCTATTTTACCCTAGCCTATAACTTCTCAGTAGTAACTGTTTATATTAGGGTCATCAAGTCAAGTTCACAATTTCAGTCTGTTCGTTATTACATCCGATTATCATCTACTTTTATCGGTAGTCATCCTCTGTACCTTTAAGTCGATTGACTCTCTAACTCAAGGCTTTGCAATGAAGTATGGAAATACCCGTTTCCGAGACATTCATGTTTAATCTGTTTTCTTACCAAAAACGAAGCTTCGATGAGATAACCTTTATAAATTGATAAGATGATGAAATCCATATAGCAACGACAGGACGAGAGTGACAGTATATCATAACTAATTAACCACTTCATTGTATAAGTATAAATGTTTGCCATCCTGCAACTGTATACCTTGATACTCATTTGAATCTAATCATTAGGAATGTAAGATTTAATCGTTGGGAAATACTGTTAATTGATCACCGTTTTATATCTCGAGTTGATAGAAATATTTTATCCTTAACTCCGACTAGAAACGTATGATTGGACACTAACGGTCAAGTGTGTGCTGTGACAACTGAAGTCCTGGGTTCAATCCCTAGTGGAACCATGGGTATGCACTGATGACGAGTCCCGTACTAGGATGAGGCTATCCAGTCCTCTCTGGTTTTCTATGGTTGTCTAGCCACAGTCAGTCCGTGAAGTAAGCTACGGGAGATTTATATCTAATGCTATTTGTAGGAGAAACAGATGTCATCTGAGCATGTTATGCTCTTTAGTTAAGGAACGACGTTCAATAGGCAATCAGTTGCTTAATATTAACATCACGAAATCATTGATCCGACACTTAACATTACTAATAATTTTAGTTTGATATAACCTAATGATTAAATGTCCATTCACTATCTGGATTAACTAATAAGCTATCTTATTATTACATCAGGATTATATACCGTTAACATTTTCTCAAAGAACTAATGCCTTGAAACTTGCAGATCTAACCTCATAAGTTGTCATAGTATGCTTCTGATTCATAATGAATTATTGAATAGGACCACGAGGCATTCTTGTTGAGAATATGGGTCGATGAGTCATAGAAACTATGTTTATATCAAAGAAGTTTATACAAAACATCTATCTAATTAATGGTCATACGCTTGTTATTGACTAGCTTCATGATGTATTTCTCAAAGTCATGATGGGAAGCTGTGGATTGTAAAGTCAAACAAATCGGGTGTGAGCTAACTGCTGTCTCGCCATTTCACAAAATGTAGACAAATTGATTCTGATTCAGGGATTTGGAAGGGCTATACTCACTGTGAAATGTTTCTCTTGCAGTCGTGGATGTATATTGCTATAAAGCCCCTAAATAGGATGAAACGGTTGTCCAGTACTCCTTTGATTCTCCCAACCTCCTCAAGTGCATACCAAATATTCACTCAAACTATTGTCAAATTATATAAAATATCTAATCAGAATTTACAGTAACCTCATACTTATTTCACCTTTTAATTTGCCACAATATAAATCACAAACTAATCACAGTTTATTGTGATGGGGAGTTCAGGACAATAAATAATCGTCAGTCCATAATTTCCATTTCTTTATCAGTTAGTGTAAACCAGTTTTTTGAAGTTAATGAATAGAGTTAGAATACTTGTTGGTTGGTGCAATTTATTTCTACTTGTTTTATTGAAAAATGTTATCTACACTCTAACTTCTGTTTGTTTACAGAGAAGACATCTGTCGAAGAATCAATTATGAATAACTATTGATAATTAATACAATATTCTGCCAAAATAACAAATATTATGAGTACTCCATATTGTTAATTTAATTCAAGTGTCTAAGTATTACAGCCTGATGTATACAAAAATAAAATATTCAGTGGAAAGGTTGAATTAAGTATTCGATAGTAGATTGCTTAAGAAAAGTATGGATTTCATGTTGAAATGTATCATAATAGATCGGGTTTCTTTGAAGGGAACAGTAGGTGAATATACATCAATTAACTGATAAACTGAAAAGTGGTAGAGAGATAGAAAATGGAGACGTTTTGTTGTATGTGGAAAGACTTGTATTAATGATATATAAATATGTTGGTTAGCATTGACAGTTATCTCTGTTTTCCTTTTCGTTCCGAACATCACGATTAAAGGTTTGATCACTTTGAAATCTCGTTGGTGACGGAGGCGACGATGAAGTTGTTTTTTGACAAAAACATGAAAGACATGGTGCATCTGTACTTTCTAAAGTCTCTGAATAAATGAAATTACCAATTGTCGCTAGAATACCACCGAATATTGCCAAACTACCTACAATATACACCTGTATATGTCTATAAGTTAACTGTGGTACACAGAGTTGTATGCATTGAATGAAGACACCAGTCAAGATTTTATCAAAAAATGATGCGATCCCATGAACAAATGCTGCTGTGTGTACTTGCTTTACACCGATCAATGTTGCGATCACAACCAATGCTCGAACATTATTGATTGTGTTTCCAATACCTAGAATGGCTGCAGCAAAATATATTGCTACGAGGTTTTCATCGGCTGATTTTAAAAAGTAAGCGATTGTACAAAATCCAAGGATAAATACAACACCGATGACTGAGCCAATCTAAAATTAAAAAGGCATGTACGATTTTTAGTGGAACATTTACACACTCAAGGAGATATAAGTTATATATATCTATCATGTGATCATGTTATAAGATAGACAAACGTGCTGAGTTCTTCAAAATGCTCATCGAAATTCACGTATGAATAGTAAAGCCATCGCAAGAATATATTGCATCAAGTCAAGCCAATCATTGGCAAGATGAGTAATTGATCATTTAGAGAAATATCAACTAGCAATAAACATTTAAAATTCTACTCTGAATACTATAATACCATAATGAGTTATGTATGAGTGGTCAATCTGAATACTATTATCGCAGTGGTATTATTTGTAGCTTTGATTATGTTTGTCACAAATTCGAATCCTACAGAATGTATCGATTCCTTGAAGACATCACACACACTCTGTTCACAAGTCCTAGTCAGAATGATATCTATTACTACTGCTTTCTGTCAACTGTCTCCGAAATTTTAAAATGTCAAAGAATACAAGATGAGCACCAATGTGTTTGTGAGCTACCTCTTGCCTAGTTGTGAGTTAGAACTCGTTATCTGCATAGTAAATACTCTCTGACTTTGCATGATTCTATCGATAATATCAGTCAGTAACGAAATCCACCTTCACAGTGTCTACTTCGTTTTGTTATTCATTAGTGAGTTTTCGTCTCTGTGTATTCACTTGTCATGACTAATTGTCCAACATGCGTGAAAAACTGCAGCTCTTTAGAACTAATAAGATACAATCCATTGAATGTGGACAAATTATTTCAAGTGATTCGATTGTGTGTTATTTGTGTGATGAATTAAGTAAAATTCGAAACTGCTGACGATTGCTTAAGAAATACTGAATTGAACGTTGCGTTACATGAGTAAAGAGTAAATAGCTATGTATAATGAAAGAACTACTCTAATCATAATTACCATTGTCTTCTTGAAAACTGTGAATTCAATAATGAGTTGATAAGTGTTGGAAATATATTAAGTTACAGAGAAAATGTCTAACAATCTGTTGTCTAATTCAACCTCATGTGCTGCATCATATGTCTGGATATTGGACGGTGCTTCCAGATACTTACAGATGCCCGAGTGTTTGAGTTAAGCTACCCATAAGTGTGTTACTTCGATACGGCCTTCTGCAATACAAACTGCCACATGAGACTTCCTCAGAGTACGTCAAACACATCATCTATATCAGCCGATATAATTATTATGATTATTCTTCAGTATCTGAGTAACATTAGTAATTCTGTTGATTCACTCATGACTGAAGCTGTAATCTGTTTGATTGATCTAGTTGTTTTCTTTGCCTTTATCACATGAGACTTTTGGCCAGTTAAGTCCTTTCGGCTCAATGTCGGTCTACTACTCAGACTACTTGTTGACAGCGACAAATAAAAATGTAGTCGTAAACCATCTGCATTATTTGTCAATGTGTTCTGTTTAACATCGTGTGAGGCCTCATTTCAGATATCTTCAACACCATAAAATTCAAGAGTGATATTCTTATAGTTATGGACTCGAATTGTTTTTGGTGGAGTTTTGTTCTCTGAGCTGGATGGTTTGGTCGTGGAGCTTTCATCGTTCTTCTGAACGACATCATCAGCACAAACTTCAGATAGAAGTGAAGTGTTTGAATTTCTCCATATGTGTCTCAAAGCTTGTTCTGTGCACCTCGACGTTGATTGGTTCTTATTGACCTTAAATTTGTCGTTGTTTACTTCTTTGTTTTGGTTGTGTCTCCCATTGTTTTGATTTTTGTTCTTATGTTTGTGCATGATTTTTCCGATTGGTTGAAAAATCATGCATGTCGTTCAGAAGAACGATGAAAGCTCCACGACCAAACCATCCAGCTCAGAGAACAAAACTCCACCAAAATCATCCACCTGAGCTACAAATCTTCTCCACCAACTCGAATTGTTCTTTCCCGATCGAAGCCTCATCAGGTCTTACAATTACAGTTCATTTTTGCAAACATCTATTAACACTTAGATTATTCTAAACGTTTTGAAACAGTTTAAATATCACGTTAAACGGTTTATAGTGGAGAGAACCTGTTAATATTTCATTGCGGATTGTAGACAGACAGATCAAGCTGTATTCGAATGACAAATAAATCATGAATGAGGTTTAAAATGTAGTCAACCAAACTATTATGAATCAGCGCTTAACAAAATGTGAAATATTGTTCAGTAATAAAGTTTTAACTTGATTTCAATGTTATTGAAATCGTCAATTCCTTTTACTTACATAATTCCCGAGTAATTTATTTATCCTTTGTACACCAACTGATGTAATCAAACAAGAAATTGTGGTTACTAATGGGGCAGAAACCATTGAACTTTTATCCATTTTTAATGAATTCAACAAAAATGGACCCATATACATCTAGGAAAATAGCAATTAAAAAACAAATATTAGTAAATTTCTCATTTTATATATTAAGGGATTTAAAACGTATACAATTAAGGGTTTGTAAATTTATAATGCTAGTATTCAGAACAGGAATTAATCGCTTCCGTTCGGATCGCTGCATAATAATCTTTAGTCGTAGATTTTTTATATATTTACATGGTTAGCAGTGGAATTCAGGACCTACATTCATACTGTCCGGGGCTCGTCCGCTGGATGTAACTGGATACTAGTTTTTTTAAGAAAACGAAACACGAGTCTAGGATTCTTTTACTAGCTGCTATTTAACTTCAGTGGTCAATATAAATTTTCGTGATATGGCATATTTATTCAGTTTGAACGTAAAGGTAAGGTGCTCAAGCTTAGATGAGAGCATTAACACTAAAATACTACTATATCCGAATCATGAAGTCCGTATACAACGAAACTCATATCCTGGATTTCATAGTCAGCCACATGCAAAATATACTAAAATTCAAAGCACATGTTTAAAGTTAATGTTCGTAAGTTAACACAGATTCCGAATTATGCACATCTTCGCATGTGCTTTTGTGCAGAACTGATACATGATGGTTGGGTAAAGTCATGAGCTATTCCCTAGTGTACGTAACAAACCAGATATACATATGTCATACAATTTCAATGCAACTACCAGTATAGATGCAGGTAAGCACAGTTGACCATTCTTGAATAAAGAGAAATGAGCCTTATAGATTTGATTACCAACCAATTTGCTTTCCTTGTGGGATTCATAAAGTTTACTGGCTAACCTATCTATTTATTTAGTTGTGAGTAGATTTATTGTAGTAGGATATGTTTTTCTCTGAATGGTAAATTGTTTTGTATTCACTAAGAATATAATAAATAATACACAAGTCAATATGAGCAATTATTTTCATGAACTAACGGGTAGTCAGTAGTCATAAGGAAAGTATCCTTTCAATAAATAATTAATCACGAGTTATCAGTTATTCATAGCACAGTATTGACCAGCAGTTAATAGTGTTGCAACAGAGCTATTTCAAAATAATTTATTGACACATTTAATTGGGCTGATGAACTGAGGTATCCTAGAATAATCGACTGAAATTAAAATCCTTTTATTTTGGAGTTTTCCTGAAGCTACAGATACCAAAAGACTCAAGCACGATTTCTACATAAAAAAGGAGATAATGGTAAATTACATACTAAGTTGACGCTATCGTTAATTTATCTGATCATTTTTGGAACTCCTTCTCTTATCTCAACTGCATCACTTCTTTGACATTCATAATTCGAGTTTTAACTAATTGATCTCAACAAATTTCATTCTTAATTACAATCAGTTTGTGTTCAGCCACCTCATTACTCTTTCAGTTAATTGTCTTACCTATATGATCTATACTCATCATAACTGATGATTCAGAACATTCTCTCATATATATTATATTTATTCAGTTGAATTAAGTCTGTCCCAATCGCCACATATCCAAATCTAATCTATTTCACTATTGTAAGTATGTTAACTTTAGTTCAAGAGAGAGGCTGTGACCAGTCGAATTCAACAATGTCCAGTGTGAGACAATTATCCACCACAGGCAATGAATCAGGTTTGCTACATTTTGTGAATTCACTGAATTTGGACATTAACACCGTTAAACCCAGTGGTGGTGAAGAGTTCAGGCGATGATCTGAATACGTACTCTCGTCTTCAGATCGAATTTTGTATCCGTTTATTTATTAACCGATGACTGCTTTTAGAGGAAATATTGAAATACATTGTTAAACTGACCAACCACCATTTATATGGCATTGGCTTTAGTCTTAATTTTAGAACGTGTATATTAGTTTGGAGTTTCTGTGAAGAACTAATTAAAGTGATTCTTTATCCGACCTGTGCTCTTAGTGCTTTAATCTATGTACCTAACTTTATACGTGTTTCGGATAGTTTGAAACACTTATTTAATATTGAGAGCTTAACGTTGAATTTCATCATATAATAAGTTTACAGAAGTTGAAATAGATCATTTATTGAAAGTAGATCAAATAGACAGGCAGGTAAATCCAAGTAAACTGCTACATCATTTAAATATATCACAAATTCAACACAAAACGGCAAAGTTATATGACACAATTGATTAATGAGAAGAATCTTGTAGAAGAATAGTGAAACGTTTATGCATTAAATGAATATAGAAAGTGAATGTACTAATTATCTTGGTCGAATTTGACTGAAGTCCATCACGAAGACTGAATGATGCTTGAAGTGAATTCATTAGGGAAACATTATGAGCCTTCTTAACATAACGCTAGTTCACAAAGTTACTGACTGTCGACTTCGGCTGTGTGCTCATGATCACAGAGACACGTGGTTTCAAGCATGGAAGATAGGACTAATATGACAGTACGACATGTTCATATTTGTTATCAAAACATCTCAAATAAACTATATCGGATTACTATGTAATTTTTAATATAATCAGAAGATTTCTCTACTGATATATTTTTCGACATTGTAGCTACTATCGTTACAGCTTAGAAAAGTATTTCTTGATTGGACATCTGAGAGGTAATGACAAAATATCGCATACTTCAGCCTCAAGTTTTACGGAACAAGCTGAATGCCGAATAGTTAACCCTGATCACGAACCCACTTGAAGTAGCGTCCATTTCGCTTCTCATGATTTAGGCTCATCTCTCTGTCGTATGCTATTCTACATATTATGCTACACTATCCATTACTGAGAAATAGCTTGAATAATTCGTAATCAGATTAATGATCCAATTGCTTCTAGGTGCGATATTTATCTACAAAATCAAAGTTTTCGATACATAAACATCTTCCATCAATGTTTTAGTTCACTATTTCTACTTGCTATCTGAATTCCGAAACCTTATTAGTTCAGACCAACTACAGTTGAAGTTGAAAATGGTATATCCGGTCTCCAAGAAGAGCTTAATTTATTTCGTTGATTCCTGATATTCTTGCTCGGTAAAGTCGTGCGATATCATCTGATTTACAGAATATATTGTAATCATTTTTCGACATCACTTATTGGAAGGATGCATTTCATTTTGATGGTACTTTTAACATATAGTCAATTAACAACTCAATGTTTTTCACTTGTTCGATATTTCACTTATTTTCAGATAAATCTCATCTTCATTCAATATTTCAACCATAACACCCTGATTGAGTTATAATTCTGAAACAGACTTCCTAAATATGATCCCATAGAAGGGGTTCTGTACAGAAAATTATCTTCACTTGTAGTCGTTCTATTAGGTACTTCAATGATTCATCACTTACTTACCACAGAAACAGTTACACTAAGACGCATTATACTGAATGTAGAACAGCTCAGCCAAAATCTTGGTAGTGTAAACCAAGCATACCAGGGAAGTGTAGATGAAAGGCTGTAGGTCCGTTTTCGTTTGGATTTGAGCTGTGAAACCACAACAGAATTACCATTAATCACTCCGTTATTGTTGCTTGTTCCAATCACTTGTGAGAATTCATCTGTTGTATCTTGAACTATTGAAAGAAATAAGTGTCAAATTCTGACTAATTTCAGATTACAATAAATAGTGTAAATGAATCTCATTCAATACCTACAATTTGTTCGTGTGGACTGATTATCATCATCTTCATAATCATCAAAATGATTCGACAACAAAATTATAGTGATTGTACAGTCCATACATCTCAAATTGTGCACTCGTTACTTCCTTGTGCCGAACTGACACCGGTTTCATACACTTCAATAACCTCAATTAAATTACCTCAATTATAAGAAGTCAAAATTTCCCAGATCAAACAATGTCATATTGATAACAGATTATAATAGTTTCGTTTTCACTCATCTACTGTGTAGTTCGACTACTTCAAAACGACCAATTCAACGGACGAGTATATTGTTTTCTAGGATTTTAGTCAACTGTTTCACATGGATCGAAATTATTCCACTGATTCAATTTCATCACGATATTCACGGGAGCCTGAAAATACCTCTGCCATGATGGTGAAAGGTGTACTTCACTCCAAAACAATAAGAAAACAACTCTACACTTTTACATCTGCACATTCCACAGATTAGTTTGAGAGTAGTTCGAAAGTTGTTGTCATTTACTATGAAAATGTGGCTCACTTTCAGTCACAAAATTTCAGAAAAACAATTTGCTACTCATATAACGAGAAATATATTGATTATAAGATGTTGAGGACCATCAATTGACTGAGTTTCTCAAAAGTATGTAATTGGTCCAGTTCCTATTTACCCATCAACACTATATTTCATTTCAATCATATATACATTTATAAACGTATACACATATAATCAAGCTGATAAAGATCGAAGTACACTATAGTCAGGAATTCTCAACTATCAATGGTTATTCATATTCAAATACTTCTTTTCAAACAACGAGTTCAAGCAAATTCGAATTCGAGAGTACTACCAAATTTATTCAGTGATAAACATTTCAGTATGCAGTCTGTTTACCGGACTATCTTGACAGCAGAATATTTCACCATCTTTCAATTCTAATTGTCACACTTTCCTCCTGTTCAAAAGATTTGTGGAAATAGATTTGCTTGATTGTGTGCGATACATGAACCGGAATCGACTGGCATCAACTAGAGAACCATTAGAAACTAGGAAGGACTATATAGCTAGTTCGTCTTAGTCTGATGCTCCAGCTCACCCATACATTTCTCTGGAGTGAAATGTGAATTCAACCACCCAATGACAACTAATGGACCACAAATCAGTGGGTTTTGTGTAGTGTGAACTGAATGCCTCTCAGTTGTAAGTAATAGATGACGAGAAATCTCAAATCTCAATGAAACGACTGTATGATGGTGATAACTAACATTTCGGTAATTATCCAACTGAGTCCAGTCCACAACTCAACTCAATGTCAACTTGTATATTCGCCACAACACTAACCAATAAAACTTGAAAATGATGATTGACAGAGAATTATGATCGATTTCAGTTCATTCCTTCTACATCGACAAAAATAACAGTTAAGTGAAATGTCAGTTTTCCGGTGTTTTCATCATCACTGTCTCTTTCAAACTAACCATTCAGTGTACAGTAAAACCAATGAACACTTAACAAGTTACTACCCTATTCGAGTCAATACTAATCAGATGTTTACTTTTCATTGGTCAAATTGGTTGCATCGAGTTTATCGTTTATCCAATCAGTACAGAAATCTCTCTAGAAATCATTTCAACCGGATAAGCTCCATTTGTTGAAACACGCAAACATATCAACAAACAAGGTTCATAAATAGTCTGGATTTCCGAAATTCCATCTACATCAACATGGTATTTGACTTACTTTCATGAGATTGCATTGCGAGTGATTGGTGTGCTTTCGGTTTACCTTCACGAACACCACAATGGAAGATTATTGTGAATAATACTCCAATGCCAACGACAATCAATGCAACATTTCGAAATATGGGCAAATCTTGAATTGTTATATTGTATTCTGAATGTACGACTAACTGTTTCCCAACATTCGTTGACTGGTTATTTATCGAATCTTTGAACAATGTTGCTCGTTCACTTCCAACAATAATGTCAGTTGTTATTAATGATTTTGTGAACAGTTGACTGTTGTTCACATTGTTGTCAGTCTCATTTACTGATTTCAAAAGTAACAAACTGGATTTTTCTGATTCAAAAAATAAATACGTTACAAGCAATGTAGCCATATCGCCTATACCACTGAAGAAATATCTTAAGGATGCAAGTAATACTCGTTCATCATGTTGGTCTGTCAAATCATTGATAATTGATAAATGGGGAATTTGTACAGCTGCCCAACCAACCTTGAAAAGATTGTTGTGTAGACAAAAAGAGAATCAATTAGTTTGGATGTTGTTTTATTATAAAATATCATCAACACAAAATCAGCGTTTGGTCAATTCATCAGACTTCACAGGACACAAGTACCAGGGAAGTGTATCTTGTAGATGACCGCCATTGGATACCCGATTATTTGGAACCTTAGTAATTTCAAATTACATTGGATACTGGAAGAATGGTGATTAGAGCTGTGGAATTTTCAAACTGATAATTGACATTTTCTCAGATTTCAAATGACTTATTAATTAACATCGATCATCTCATTGAAAAGAAGATAGTTAGTACTAGTGACTGGTTAATGAAAGTTTAACTTCATTTATAAATTATCCTTTATAGTATCGTAATTTACCGTAATTTACATATGGGTCCTGCCTGGCAGTATGGGGTTTAATATGTCATAATGTGGCTTTTGAAGAAAATGTCTACTTAGCTCTCTTCCAAAACAATCGCTTAAGAAAATTATTTGATCTAAGTTCGAGTATGATTTAGCTTAAAGAATAATTTACTTTAATCTGATAAGGAATTTATTTCCTATTTTCTATTTATGATAATATTGATTTCATGTTTTACCGTACCTAAACTTATTGGTCTACAGTTTGTAAAATCCACTTATGTCAGATTATAATTATTTACTGAACATTTTCTATGTAATACGATTTACGTATTTAGAATTTGATATCTCAGTTTTCTAGGGCTCTATTAATTTTCCCATAAATTACACTGATTAACAACATACTAATCATGACTATTATTAAGCATTGTATTGATTATTACGTTAGATGATTGTAAAGATATTGTCATCAAACGTTACATCCAGGTTTCTACTTCGTCGACATTTATTACCGAAATACATCTACGATCCAGAAAAAATAAATATATTTCCAGAGATTTGAGCATGCATCACCGAGTACTGCAACTAGATACTTAGTCACTGAATGATGTATTACAGTTCAGCCTGATCTTAGATTTTTTTTAATGATCAGTCACGAAGTGATAAAATCAATAGTATATTATCTAGTCTCTTGTTGTGAGGATTAAATTTTGTCAGTTAACGATTTTAAGATATTTATTTGAATCCATATATGGTGATGAGTTAATTATAAATAAATGTTTCTTAGAAGAATTCTTTTTTACTTATAGATTATTTAGATAAGATTATACAGCTTAAGGAAGTACCTGATTTTGATTTAACATCGAGCATTAAACCTGTATTAGTTATTAATCAGTCCGATACGTGTGTGAATATGAACAATAGACTAAATGTCTATAGATATAATGTAATCGTCGTTTTGTTGGTCCATTTTAACACTATCCGTTACATTTTCTTACCAAGTTATAAATAGTCTTTCCGTTTGTTTTGTTTATTTCTATTATATCAGAACACTTTTTAGTTAGTTGATAAAAGCTTAACCATAACAGTGGGAGTAAAATATATCATTCATATACATCAGAGTGTCTATCATTTATCGATAACTGTAGTATGTAAAAAATAGACGAAGTGATATTTCAAGCTGTCATATGACAAAGTATAACAGTAACAACCGATTTTGTTTAAACGAAAGCGAACGGCATTGATTACACAAACAAAGTGGTTTTTATCAACTTTATTTTTTAAGAGACAAAGTGGAGTGGTTGAAGTTAGACATTAACACAGTTGGTTGCCGGCTCAGTGGTCTAGACGTTAAGCATTCGCACGCGGGACCGAAGGTCCTGGGTTCGGATGATGCGAGAGGGACCGTGGTTCCGCACTGCTGAGGAGTCCCATGTTATGACGAAACGGCCGTCCAGTGCTTTCAGGTCCCATGGTGGTCTAGTTTTAATCGATTCATGAATTCAACTAATAAATGGAATGGATTAATAATAGTTTTAAAGAATTAAATAATTACAATTATTCACTTATCTAAAGTAAGAGAGATATCTTTTTTAGAAAAACAAGAAACAATGAATGTGTAAAAGAGAGAGAATTTCACTTAATTACGGATTTTTCTATTTTTATTTCATCACTGAGAGAAATAATTCAACTCGTTTACGCCAAAAACATTTTAATCTTATTTTATGGCGGCAAAATAAAGTAAGTTGAATAATCGGAAGTTATGTACCGATAAATAGTTTTGTTCGCTATCTACCGAAGTACAGATTAAAGAACTAGATCTGTTCAAGCTGTTAGATTCCATAGTACTTAAATACAAAGAATTAACAATGATTAGTTAAAATAGCATATTAGAACTTAATGTAGATTCAAAGTTTAAAAGAAGAAAATTATTTGATTGACCTTTGTAACTAAAATCGACTGTGTCACATCAGTTAGTAAGTTTAACTGATTATTATAAGAAAAGCAGTAATAAAAAAATAACGTTGTTTGACTTTGTATTGTCGTCTGACAGTTTTGAAGACGTTCACATACACGTCTATATTTTAAACAATTGAGATATATGATTGATATTTCCACCTGGGGCCCCTCTGGGGCTACTGCCCGGATTAAGGAGGAGGTTTGGGCATGGGGTTAGCGACTCCACCCCGTAGAAAACTAACTCTTTAAAAAACGCTAACCAAAAGAGTATATGTTTGATACACATCCATCAATTGAATGTTGCTTATCAAACTTAAAAAACATAATCATGTGATTGTATTTAGTTTATCTAGCCTGTATGAAA